CTTAAAAAGAAATCAAATATGTAAACATTTTAAAATATATATTATTTAACAAAATACACAAAACGACATTTAACAGTTTGATTTATAATAATAATTAAACATCAAGTCAGGTAAGAAGTACAAGCTTCACATGTAATTATGTACATGTATAAGGATACTGTTGAGTAACTGACCTGCACAGCGTCAGCTTTATATACCGAGAGTTGAACCGAATCTAATGTCTATGTGGGTCTTTAGGTCTTTCCTTTTTTACCTTGGGGGTCAGGTACAAATAACCTCTTCCCTCTCCTGAGCAGTTAATTAATGTTATTTTTACTTTTTCTTTTTATATTCACGAAAATGCTAATATTATCACTACACGAGGGTTAGTGTTTGTACCCGATAGCCGGAGTACTACCTCTAACCCCTTTTTCCAGAACCATGTCCTTTTATGCAATACTGTTAGCATTTCATGTGACGTTATCACTTTCTCTCTTACTACATTCATAATATTTTCAGCTAATGATATAATTACATGCTATCTGTACGTGGCTTATGTATATATTTACAGTAGATATTTGTTGGGGAGAGATACTTAGGACTATTTCCATCATGTATGCGATAATGATCTACTTCACATAGCAGCTCATTTTTGTAAATATTTTCCTGGAAGTATTTTAGCATATAATGAAAGAGTCTAACAGGTAGTGTTTACGTATTTGTGTAATCAAGCTGTTGACGTTGATTTGGTAGTTTTAACACCGTCATGAGGAGTGAGTTTTGTATTTACTTATTTGTGTAAGAACGCTAGTGACGTTGTCTAAACACTGTCGTTAGGAGTGAGTTTTGTATTTACTTATTTGTGTAAGAACGCTAGTGACGTTGTCTAAACACTGTCGTTGGGAGTGAGTTTTGTATTTACGTATTTGTGTAAGGAAGCTGGTGACGTTGTGTAAACACTGTCGTTGGGAGTGAGTTTTTTATTTACGTATTTGTGTAAGGAAACTGGTTGTGTTGTTTAAACACTGTCATTAAGAGTGAGTTTTGTATTTACGTATTTGTGTAAGGAAGCTGGTGACGTTGTGTAAACACTGTCATTAGAAGTGAGTTTGGTATTTACGTATTTGTGTAAGGAAACTGGTGACGTTGTTTAAACACTGTCATTAAGAGTGAGTTTTGTATTTATTTGTGTAAGGACACTGGTGACGTTGTTTAAACACTGTCGTTAGGAGTGAGTTTTGTATTTACGTATTTGTGTAACGAAGGTGGTGACGTTGAACACGGTAGTCTAAACTGTCATTAAGAGTGAGTTTTGTATGTTTTGTAGTTTACTTTTGGTATGTGTGGGTGCAGCATTTATCCATGCAGGACATTCATATTCTATGTTTCTCTATTTGTGCCTGTCAAACTCCTAGCGTATAGTTTGAGCGTTGCCAAACTCCATTTCTGATTTTATTTATACGTTAGTTTTGAATCGTAGGTCAGTCCTAGAAATTCTGTAGATGTGGCAGACTGGAGAAGAGTTCCGTGTATGCAAAACTGGGGTGAATGTCTACTGGTTGTGAGCCCCCCAGTAGCACAGAGGTATGTCTGCGGACTTACATCGCTAGAAACCGGGTTTCGATACCCGTGGTGGGCAGAGCACAGATCGCCCATGGTGTAGCTTTGTGCTTGACTACAAACAAACTACTGGTTGTGATTGATTTAGTGAACAATGCTACACGAGTGTTGGAAACGCTTATTCTTATTCTATATTTTTAGCAGTATTCGGCTATTCTATTTAATTGAGGTTGTAGATTTGTAGCTGCTATAAAAGTTGTAGGGGATCTCTTCCACATCGTGTGCAAACTGCGAGGCGAAGTCGGCATTTGGATCCTCAAGACACATATTGCTAACATACATGATGAAAAGTATAGGGCTAACCACCCCCTCCCTGGGGGACGTTTGCCTCAGGAGTAGGGCTAACCTCCCCTCCATGGGGGACGTCTGCCTCAGAAGTAAAACACTTTGAGTAGGTGCCCTCCACGTTTACTCTACATTTTCTATCTTCCAAAAAGTTGGACAGCCAGCGAATAATAAATACCGCGCGGTATTTCCATTTTCATCATGCGGAACCTGAGACCACTGTGCCGTACAGTGTCGTAGTTCCATTTCTACCATCCGGAACTTGAGACCACTGTGCCATACAGTGTCGTAGTTCCATTTCTACCATCCGGAACCTGAGACCACTGTGCTGTATAGTGTCGTAGTTCCATTTCCACCATGCGGAACCTGAGACCACTGTGCCGTATAGTGTCGTAGTTCCATTTCCACCATGCGGAACCTGAGACCACTGTGCCATACAGTGTCGTAGTTCCATTTCTACCATCCGGAACCTGAGACCACTGTGCCGTATAGTGTTGTAGTTCCATTTCCACCATGCGGAACCTGAGACCACTGTGCCGTACAGTGTCGTAGTTCCATTTCTACCATCCGGAACTTGAGACCACTGTGCCATACAGTGTCGTAGTTCCATTTCTACCATCCGGAACCTGAGACCACTGTGCCATATAGTGTCGTAGTTCCATTTCCACCATGCGGAACCTGAGACCACTGTGCCATACAGTGTCGTAGTTCCATTTCCACCATGCGGAACCTGAGACCACTGTGCTATACAGTGTCGAAAGCTTTTTTATGTCGAGAAAATAGGCGGCAGTCTTTCGATTAATCTAATTAAGTAGTCTGTTATTTCTCGAAATTCTCTTAAGCCGTTTTGTAAGTCGGATAATTTAGATGTGACTTAGGCTGTTACATATTATATGTTCCAAAATTACAGCTGATCAGCCTATCAAAGATTGAATATCTTATGTTAAAACAATTTTGAATATGAAACTCAGCAAGTCCTGTGATAATCACAGCCAATACAAAGTCGCGGTGGATCTGGGTATATCAGAAGTAGATTTTTACATTGTTTGGCAATACGTGGATTGTGTGATACCACCGAAAATTGATCGCTTTTGCGAATGGTAGGTAACATCCATTTCTGTCGCAAAATATTCACACAGTCAGATCACGAATATTAGTTTAGATTGGGAACTTAGAATGTCAAATACGGAGATATCCCTAGAAAAATATTTGCAACAATCGTATATAACCCGTGGTAAGCAAAATGGAGCGTTTTTTTTTATCAGATGACAGTCCAGGAACATAAACGTTCGTACCAAAAGCTGTCTACGTGCCCTAAACAACAGTACACAACGTAATCAAAAAGGATCCCTGTCTGGAAAAGCAACACAATTATCCGTCCAATCTTCGAATGCCTCAGTCTGCTGGAGAATGGAACAGGTATCTATGGTATTCTACACAAAGACATATCGAAGGATTCGCCGAACGCAGCAACTATGATTTTCTGTATTTTTAAACAGGTGCTGTAAACCGTTGTTTTTCTAGACAACATCAATTTTGAAAAGCAAGAAAGAGTAGTTTGTTTTCAAAATGACAGTCTCACGACAAGAAACTTCGCTCCAGAACTATTGTGAAGATGAACGGTCGTCAGATAGAGCATGACAGGCACTGTAACGACATATTGAAATTCCATATATCTTTCAAAGGGTACTGACAGAGCTATTGGTTAATTCCTTGGTATCCTCCTGACATGACCTTTTTTCCTCCAATCTCTTCTAATACGTACCTGTACCGTTATCAGGTTAATTTCTAAGTACACTCTTAGCACGACATCTCTGTTTAAATCTTTTTTTTTCAATATGCACTTAAACTTCCCCAATAAAATCTCAGCATGGATTTTCGTTTGCAAATCTTTCAATATGCCGATAATCGGCACTACTTAATTATTCCGTACATTGTTAACATGTATTTATGCCGATAATTGGCACTACTTAATTATTCCGTACATTGTTAGCATGTATTATACGTATATGTTGATGGTGTATCTTCACTCATATATTCCGTACATTGTTAACATGTATTATACGTGTATGTTGATGGTGTATCTTCACTCATATATTCCGTACATTGTTAACATGTATTATACGTATATGTTGATGGTGTATCTTCACTCATATATTCCGTACATTGTTAACATGTATTATACGTATATGTTGATGTATCTTCACTCATATATTCCGTACATTGTTCACATGTATTATACGTATATGTTGATGGTGTATCTTCACTCATATATTCCGTACATTGTTAACATGTATTATACGTATATGTTGATGGTGTATCTTCACTCATATATTCCTTACATTGTTAACATGTATTATACGTATATGTTGATGGTGTATCTTCACTCATATATTCCGTACATTGTTAACATGTATTATACGTATATGTTGATGGTGTATCTTCACTCAAATATTTTTGGATAACTTATAACTGTCATAACTTATTTTCTGTTAATAATGCAGAGGATATAGCAATCTTCAGTTTTAACATTATGAAACAATGTGCTCCTCCCACTTAATATTAATAGTTTTAGTAACCTGAACTCATAAAATGAACCAAAAGGATCGGCATAACGCCTCAATGCAAAATAACATACTCAGTATTGAATGTCTTACAGAAGTAACAGTATTTTATTGTTGTTGTAAAATGCTCGGCGTTCAATGAACGGAGAATTAGAGCAATTAAAAAATCTTATCTACATCATGATGAACAAACTCTAAGAGAAATACACATATACTTCTGTAATCCTTGGTAAGTAGATTAAAAATTCGCAATTCTCTGTGAGATATCTATAAATAATTAGAAGCGTTTTGTGTTTTAACCATCAAATGTTATTGTTTCAAGACACTAAAGTCTATGTTTTGTGTTTTAACCATCAAATGTTATTGTTTCAAGACACTAAAGTCTATGTTTTGTGTTTTAACCATCAAATGTTATTGTTTCAAGACACTAAAGTCTATGTTTTGTGTTTTAACCATCAAATGTTATTGTTTCAAGACACTAAAGTCTATGTTTTGTGTTTTAACCATCAAATATTATTCTTTCAAGACACTAAAGTCTATGTTTTCTTATAGTGGACACCGATCAAGAAAATGCGAATTTGAGAGTGTCCAGCACCAAAAGTGACCAACCGGATAAAAGTAACGACAACAGGTCAGATAGTAATCGCCAACCGCAAGGAGAGAAACACGGAGCAAAACCTAGCAGCAAGAAGAAATCCGTGAACGAAAACAAGGCGGGGAAACCTCGTCGAGCTAGGACGGCTTTTACGTACGAACAGTTGGTAGCCCTGGAAAACAAGTTCAAAACAACCCGATACCTATCGGTGTGTGAGCGTCTAAACTTAGCACTGTCGTTACGACTAACAGAAACTCAGGTCAAAATCTGGTTCCAAAACCGGAGAACCAAGTGGAAGAAGCAGAACCCAGGAATGGATGCCAACAGTCCTACGATACCCCCGTCCCCTACATGTAACCTTCCTAACGGATACACAGCCATGCCGCACTACCAGTCGCCAGCCGCTGTTGGACTCTTCTACGGCTCTCAGTTCCCGTACCTCGCGGCAACCGGCGCTGCGGGACTGCCGTTCACGATGTTGTCTCCTGCATCTGCTGTACATCAATTCGGGATAACACATCCTCACATGGCTTATCTAGGCCGGTCGTGAACTCACTAATATGGTTATACAAACTTTTATGGTGCAATTGAACTCAGACACTTACTGAATAATTTATGACTCCATATGTAAATAAACATATATATATATATACACACATGCAAAACCTTCAACCCTTGTGTCAGTGGGACTTGACAATGATAGAGGTTTCTAATCAATAACTCTTCCTGATCCAAATACTCTTTGGTGTCGAATAAAACTCAGACTTCCTGACAGATAATGGTTTCTAGTTGTTCTCTCTGATATGAATTCCACCAGGCCATTGCTAATATGACAAGGTTAAATATATAAGGACGAAAGTTTTTAGAGTGTGCATGTAAACATTTTGATTAACCTGATGAAACGGTTTCTCTATAAGCCAAACTAGCAAAGCCGTGATGCACAAGCAGTTTTAAATTTTATAGCAAATATTCATACTTTAGTTAGACAGCCTGCGATTTTTGTTCAACTTGGGGCATGATGGTGAGTAAAACAAAATACGTGACCTAGCTAATTAATGAATGAATATTTGTTGTAAAATTCTTATCATTGCTATATGTGTAGCTACCAGTTTGGCACACTCAATTCTTTTTTGGCCGCACCTTTTTTTCATACCTAAGGTGTTTTTGATTAGATATCATGACTGTTTATCAATACACACCAACAAACCACAGCAAGTAAGAAAGTAAAACTCGATAGTAACCAACATTAGCTGTAGGAACAGTCCTTTACTTTACAGAACCAACCATATTCTTCAAAATATATATGGTGGTAGTTTTTTTTTCTCTAAAACAGTATTAATAGCTTCTTTTATAGTAACGCCATGGAATTTAGATTAACAGTTTCTTGTCACTACCCTCATGTAATTGGTACAGTCGTACCAAGCATTGTTATTTATGCTAATTGCTTAAGCTAATATCACGTGACGCTAAACGCTCTTTGATTAAGATAATTTCATAAAATTTAATAAAGTTGTGCTGAAAAGTTGCCAATGGATAATTAATAATAACCGTCCACCGTATGATTATTCTGAAAACTCGAGCTAAAAACTGCTAATCTAGTTTGCTTGGCCTAACTAATACTTATGTATCTGCACGCCCTTTACCTTATAGTTCTGCTGCTCTAAATCAGCAGTCTTCTATTAATCCGAATGACAAAAAACCAAAAAAGGTCCACTTTTACTCTTAGGTAAAGCTGTAGTAAAAATGTTAGACAGATAGCTCACGTTACTTTTTCCGTAAGTGTGCGGAAAAGTTTTCGTCAAATTTGAGGGGGTTTTGTTGAATAACTTTGCACAGGTGGTTTATATTTAGACCAAACGAGACTCCTAACTGTAAGTTGTAAAGATCTATCAGTGTACCATATTTGAGAAAAATCCATAAAAGTTAAGTATCAAATACAGTTTCCGTATTTTTGGTACGAAGAAAAATATAGGAAGAAAATCAAAATTGGAGATGTATTATCTCAGGTATTTCTTAATGGATTGCCTTGAAATTTGGAGTGTAAAATAAGAGTCTAGTAGAGCACATTCACTAAAAATATGTGATAGTTTGGATTACCACAGTCAAAGATACAAAAGGGGTAAAATCACTAAACTATCACTCCTGTTAATAACTCAGTGTTGTCCTGCTGTAGGTTGTTTTGGCCTCACGACATAATACTGTGTGCTTTAACAAACAAAGATGCCTTTAAACATATGTAAATCTGCACAACAGATTATTTGCATGTTTTGGGCATGAGACATACAAAACTCGTATAATAATATGATGATTGTAATAAAACTTGTAATTTGATGTCAAGAACTCATTTTAAACATTAGTATTAAGGGTGGATTTTCTTCTTAATCTGTGAATCGTATAACAATGTATGTCAAGAAATGAAATAACAAAACACAGGCTAATAGTTTTAGTTATGACAAAGTAAGTCATGAGCTAGCAGTTTTAGTAATGACAAAGTAAGTCATGAAAATTTAGTTTTTTAGTCTACCGGAAAATCTCCCTAAATTATTTTAAAAAATCTCTAAGACTTGGGTGTTTTATCTCTGGTAATAAATCTCTAAATTCAATTAGCATATTTCAGTCCAACTACTTTTGAATCATATTACAATTTCCAAAACTTCATTTTGCATTATAATATTCCAAAACATTATTTTGTTGTCATGAGAAAAAAAAAAAAAAGGTGAATAAATTTCAAGCCCATTTTAATGCCTCGTTTCTCAGATTTTCAAATGTATATATATATATAGAAGTGTTAGTGGTTTTGATATCTTGTTAGCGTATTCTTATAACTTTAACTCCAGCATTTCAAGGAGAATTATTGTATGGCTTACCCCAAAGGCTTACGAAAAATTGTTTTGTTTTAAAATTATTACAAGGTAAGTCTTTGCTAATGATAATAATAATATAACTCGTTTTTGAGAATCTCGAATTAAACTACACGTATATATCAACTCCGTTTTGAACGAAGTGTTCATATACATATTTCATTTAAAAATATATCGATAATCACCTAAATTAAACGTGTATACTAATGTAATATACCATATTTATTAAAGATCTTAAAAAAATAATATCAATGTTTATAATTGTTCTTAACAAGTGAAAGCTTGTCTTTTTAAGTGCCCTTAAAGATGTTTTTGTACTATAATTACACGACTAAATAGTACAAAATACTGGAACATATCAAGTACTTAAAAACAAACTTTAGTAACCAAGGCAGTGAAAGGCGTCAGAAGAACTTGTAAGAGTAATGTTTAGTGAAACGGTAGCTTGTTTGTTTGTTTTTCAGAACATTTCTACATAGCTACAGAAGGACTATCTGCATAGAGTATTTCCTAATTATATTAACTGCAAGACTAAAGGAAAGGCAAATAGTCAACAGCACCTTTCGTTAGCTCTTGGAATACTCTTATTTGACCGGATAACGAAATTCGACCGTCAATCTTATAGCACCCATGGTCCCAAAGTAAGGATCGCGTTTTTCCGGGAAGGGGACGTGAACTATGAACCCCAGATTCACTGTTTGGGCACACTCATCACTAAGCCATACCAGGACCCAGAAGGGCTAGCAAATAGCGATAGTTACGATTTTATGTATTTTATTAATCACGCTTCTTTGTCTTTTTGTTTCCACTCGAGCGATAACTAGAAAACTGGTTTAAGAAGTAGGAGTTGCCAGATCTAGTATATTGTAATTGTTACAGAAGGGTGATCATATCTTTACCACAAATTATAAGCACTAAATTGTATACTACCACATTTTCATCAATCTACTAGTACATGTGCCATACTGGTATAGGTTGATATTTAGGGTTAAAAATATTGAAGGGTGTGTAATACCAACAAACTGTACAAGGGTTGGACAGAATACTTGAATCATCTGATAATTTATTAATATGAAGTTAAGCTTCCACGAACAAACAACAAAGCATTACCACGAACTGATCTGTAATAAGGTTTAGGTAATCATTTGCTGCCACTTTACCTTTCAATGAGCTCATAGGTTCTAAAATGTTCCAACAACAACAAAAAGATGCCCATACCATGACGTAGATCCCACCATGCTTAACTGATGACAAGACATTTGACAGGAAAAATGAAAACGATGATCAAATAATGAAACCACATTCTTCCGTTGATTTTCAGTCCAATTTTTGTTTTCGACATCATTTTACTCGGACTTTTGCGTTATTTAGAGTTTCTGGATGTCCAACCTACCCCTGTAACCCATCATGTTCAGGTCCCTTCGAGATGTTTTGCTCACTCATGATTTTCTGATGTAATTTTATTTTTCGAGGTGCACGCTGACATAACATTTGACGCTTTTCACGGGATACAATCGTTATTGTTAATGTCACTGAGAATCCAGCTAGATGTTCAAACATTCATCTTTGGATGACATTTTTAGAACAATTCTCTGAAAAAAAACAACAACAATAATATGATATTTGTAAACAGACAAATTGAATGATAGAGAATAATTTCATGTACAGTTAGATTACCTCATGGCTACAATTTTCCCTCTGTAAATGTTAGGTATGTGCAATTTTAATTCCAACTCCTGTATTTTCTGAATACGTGTAACAATTTTATACCTTTTTCCCCCCAGAATTGCAAAAATTACGGAATTCGGTCGATCTCATCATCATTTTGAGTATACCTACAAAGTGCTATATAATTAAAACAGACAAAAACGTTTGACAGGATACTGCAATATTATAGTGAAAAAAGAATTAATAATGATTTAACTTATGTTTATAATTAAAATTTACTAACTTCATATGCAAAATATTAAACATGAGCAACACAACATGTTTTCTTTTTGTTAAAAAAATACTTTATGGAAAAATAGACACTAAATGTTTCGGCTTACTACTTCAGTGACTACTTCTGGGATTATAATACAAACCATGCCAGAACTATTGTGCTTCTTTACGTAAGGTCCCTCGGTGGGTTAGCAATAAATATACGGACTTACAACGCTGAAATCCGGGGTTCGATTCCCTTCAGTGAACAGAGTACAGAAGGTCTATTGTGTAATATTGCAATAAGACAACAACCTTACTGGGTATTATAATGAGTGCATGGTCAACAATAAACCTCGTCTGGTCGTAGAAACCTATCCACTTTTCGATTTAACCTAAAGATTGCGAACATATACAACCTGAATAATAAGGTGCTAAGCAATAATCAGGTTTCATTTGGCAGTGTTAACGTGAATAATATATTCGAAGAAACATTTAGTAATGTTCCTTATGACTGATATGTTCCATCTTGGACACTGGACCTTACAGGACCTTTTGCTAGCTGAAGTTTTATACTACTCGACAGAAATCTCACTTAATCTGGTAATGTAATTCTATAAACGTAAATATTTTACATAAATCCCTCACACCTTTGTGTTTCTAAATATATTTGTATTTTGTACCTTTTAGTGTCGTCCAGTTTTCTTGCTTGTTTTCTTTTTGTTATTTACATTTATTGTTATTACATACATTTGGTAATTTGCAAGTA